TTCTTTGGACAAATAATTGTGGATGTTTTAAACATTTTTAAGAAAATATCTTTAGACAAATAATCGAGGATTTTTCAAGCGACAACTTCCGATAAATAATTTTGGTTTTTTTTTTAACATTTTTTAGAAAACATATTCAGACAAGAATCGTGAATTTTTAAACCTGTTCAGACAATTACAAGTGGATTATTACATCTTCCGACAAGAATCGTGAACTTATGTTAAAATATTAAAAAATAAAAATAACAAGTTAAAAAGCAGTAAGTTCGACCGGGCCGAACTTTGAATACCCTCCACCATATGGAAGAAATTTGAAAATTTTCAAAAAATAAAATCCTTAAAAAAATTCTGTTAAAATTTTAAAAATACCGAATATAGCCGTAATATTGGGGTCTATACGTGGGGTCTATACGTACGTACATAGGCATTGTTTGTCATTAGCCATTACCATATTCAAATACGAAACTTGAAATAAACGGTGAATAATGTAGCTAAAATCATCAAAACATCGTATATTGGGAGATACCGTTATATCGGAGCTGTGCGAAGACCTGAACCAGCAAAAACAATTTTCTGCCACAGGCTGTAGCATCCATTACGAAGTTCAAATACGAAATCTCAAACAATTTCGGTGGGTTTTGTACCTAAACTCGTCAAAATATCCATTATAGAGAGGTACTAATATATGGGGCTTATACGAAGATCTGGACCTGCACAGACAATTTTCTGTCTTAGGCTGTAGTATCCATTTCGAACTTCAAATACCAAATTTGAAACAATTCCGGTGAATAATGTCGCTAAAATCATCAAAATACCGAATATAGGGAGGTACCGTTATATGGGGCTATATGAAGACGTGGACCTGCACAGACAGTTTTCTGTCTTAGGGTGTAGTTCCCATTATGAACTTCAAATACCAAATTTGAAACAATTCCGGTGAATAATGTCGCTAAAATCATCACAATACCGAATATCGGGAGGTACCGTTATATGGGGACTATATGAAAAAATTGACCTACATGGCCAATTTACAAACTTAACCTGCATACTGGAAAAATAAACATGTGTGCAAAATTTTAGCCTTCTATCTCAATTCGATCGAAAGATAACGTGATTACAACCGACAGACAGACGGACAGACAGACGGACATCGCTAAATCGACATAGAATTTACGCTGATCAGGAATATATGTATATACTTTTTTGGGTCTGACATGAGTGTTTTCATAGTATGGTGGAGGGTATAAAAAATCGTTAAATGTTAAAACATTTTTAAACTTCTTCAGATATTAAGATTTTTTATAAATATCAATTCTATCAATAATTACAAAATCTCGTTGATTATGAGAATAGAGCTCCAAATAGAAGACACATGTATCTGCTTTTTGAAGGTCTACATCGAAAATTATCAAATTCCCCCTTCTCCCACATTTTCATTTTTCAGTGTCTTCGGAAATAATGCAGATAACGATACAAGGATTATTTCTTAGCCCACAAGTGAATCGCCAAGATCGTATGTTTGGTGTCCTTCTCAAAAAGTGGTTAAAAACTCCATAGTAGCAAGTCGAAATATTCCACAAAACTTCTAAATTCTAAATTTACAGGGTGAAATAAAAAAAAACTGCAAGAAAGTCACCATAACCCCATAATTTTTGTATATTTATTTTTAAAATTTTATTGAATGAAAGCAAAAAATGTCGGAAATGGCATCAAATTTTAGAATAAGTTTAGATTTGTTCGAATTGGTCACCTTTATGGTCTTCAAACGGCCAATGAAACCGTCACACGCTGCTCGAATATTGCTCTGAGCTTGCTTGAGGTGATTAACACTTTTGTAGTTTTTAGTGCCAACCTTGCTTTCCAAAATACTCCAAACACAATAGTCCAAAGGATTGGTATTCAGAGATTTTGGTGGCCATTGTGCGCTGAAAATGAGGCGAGGAACCTCATTTTGTAACCATTCTTGGGTGGTGCGTGTTGAGTACGATGGTGCTGAGTCCTGTTGGAATGTCCAAGGTCTGTGGCCAAAATGTTTGCGTGCCCAAGGTTTTAATTCACTCTCCAGAATATTTTCGGGATAATATTCGGCATTTCTTCTGATACTACGGTCGATTTATACGAGCGGAGAGCGATCATCGCCAGTTACTGCACCATCACCATGACCGGCGCTTGAGTTCTGGTGGCCAACCGAAGGTGCATATTTTCAGCTGACCTCTTTGGCAAATAAACACGATCATTTTGTTGGTTTACAAACTGCTGGACAACGAATGTTTTCTCATCGGAGACAACCGAATTCGGCAGTTCACCACTTTCGGCCAATCGAAGCAACTCTTTAGCTCTATTGAGTCTATTTTCTTTCTGTTGCGATGTAAGTTCTTGCACTTTTTAGAATTTCAATGACTTTACCCCGAGTTCATTTTTCAATATTTGCCGAATAGAGCATTGCGATATGTTCAGCTCACGAGCCATTTTTTGGCCACTGCGACGCGGGTTTCGATCATGTAGCTTTTTTACTTTTCGAACGCTTTCTGCTGATGTTTTATTCACATTTAAATGCTGGAGTGCTCTAACGATAGCCGCTTTTGATTTTCCGGCAAAATATAAAGAAATCACACTATCACGCTTGAATTCCATCACGAATAACTTTTTTTCCGGAAAATTCTCACCAAAATGCTTTTGTACGCTTGTAAACATCATAATGGGCTGTCACTGGAATAATTTTAACAGCTGTCGGATGAGTGGCTTAGAAATGACAGCAGTCTGAAGTTGGTTGCAGTTTTTTCATCTCACCTTGTATATATATTTTACTGCACGGAAAGAGAAAGGATAATCCAAGTTTACTCCAACTTGCAAATCCTAATATTAGCATCAGTGCTAGGTCAGGTGCGAAAATGGACAATATCGGTCCACTCCATCAACTACATCCCCCCAAAGGTCAACATTTGGAATAATTATAACTCATAAAATGTGATGTGAGAGTTTGATTGTTTTCATGTTACACAAATCACAATATCTTTTTTTAACTCAAGGTCTGAAGTGAAGATGGAATATATCGGTCCACTCCTTCAGGTACCTCCCCACAAAGGATCAAAATTTTCAGTATCCACCAAGCTCAGAAAATACGAAATTAACATCCAATTCCATTCAGATTTAACATATCTCAATATTTCTGTAAGCGCATGATCTGTTATAAAGATAGTAGAGATCGGACCATTTCTTCTGGTACCTCTCCCACAAGGGGTCAAAGTTTTGAATAATTGAAATGATTATAAAATCCGAAATAAGCATCCGGTTCTCTTCATATTCATTGTGAACGTTATGTATATCTGTGAACCCCCTGGTATCTCACCCACAAAAGGGTCACAATTTTCAATACTTTATCTGTCATTACTTGTGAAACATGTCAGTGATTCTTAACTACCTGCTATATCCAAATATTCCTTTCAACCAGAGCCTGCGATGAATATGGAATTTATGATTTCGCACAAAATTGGATATATATTTTCGATTTTCTTGTAATTTTGCCTACATCAATATTTTTATCTGCATTAGGTACGCACATCTTAAAACTTTCTTAAAATGGTAGCATATCTCATATAAAGTGAAGGAAAAAAAGCTTGTCACCTAGCAATATTAATACCATAATTTTTTTGGTCCGATACGAAACTGGCTGAGGGTATACATCTGTTTTTTTTAAGTTGGATATAGACTTTTGATGTATTCTGAGTTTGATATCAAATAACTTTGTGGAACATTGTGACTAGCTACGATCCCGTATAAATTGAGTTTTTAACCATTATTTGAAGAAATTGACCAAATTTTAAAAATTTCGACCAGAACAATCCTTTTATTGTTGCCTGTAATATTGCTATTTAGCGAAAATGGCTGGTTTCCAAGGAATCTTAATCCAATAACTGGATTTTTTCTTTAATTATTTGTTTTGTTGCACAGTGTTATTAATTTGGAAATTTTAAATTTTATATTGAAGATTTTTGTCACATACTCATATTTTTTATTTGGATGAGGTTCCCATGCCCACCTAAGATACTTTTTTATATTTTCGCGTGCTACGTTCCCATTTATGGGGAATTTTTCGTGATATTTAAAAAAAGGACCAAAATTACCCCTTTACTGTCCTGTGTAAAGACTAAAACTAATCCTTGTATTGTTATGTGTAATGTTGCCGAAGAGACTGTATATCTCAAGTGCAAGGACACTAAGAAATCTTATTCCGAAATTTTCCAAAAAATGTGTAAAGATGGGGGAAGGGGGCGGGTCTTTTCCCATTTTTTTAGATATCTTTGCGATACAAACTTTCAAAAGGCCTATGCACGTGGTTTATATCTTTAGCTCTACTATAAAAATGTGTTGGATTTTTCCTCTAATTGTTATTTTTTTTTTGTGTTGCATAGTGTAATTGAGGTTTTTTAAAAGAAGCCCACCCTTTGAAACCGTAATCGTGGATTGGAGGATTTTTATTTTATACTGAAGATTTGCCGCACAGTTTACAAATGCTTTTAAATTTGGGTGAACTGAAAATATCCCAGCCGAGGACCTTAATTTTTTCCAATTTTTGCTTGATTTAGCCTCCTTGAATCCTTTAAATCACCCAAGTCCCCTCTCAAAGTTTCATCGATTGTCAATTATTTGTCCATTTCCATACTCCTCTGATTTTCATTAAATGTCACTTCCTCGTTTTCTTGTTTTATGTTTCTGTCTTTAACACTGTGGCTCAATCTTGCTGTTCGTGATGTCCATTTGCAGAGCAAAAAAAACTTTATCAATGAGCAAAGTTTTATTTAATTTCACTTTGTGTTCTTCTTGTACATCACTTATCTGGCTGGGTTCTGGTTTTGTTTGACAAGTGTCCATGTTTTGTGTCTCTGTTTGTTTTTATTTTTTTTCTTCTTCTAAAGATTCCTTTTTTCCCACCAGAATCTTTTTTTATTGTTTTTCTCATTTTTTTTTTCATCTTCTTCTCACATTTTATTCCTTCACAGGATCGCCGTGACGATTTGAAATTGATTGTCAATGCCATTGGAAAAAGTGAACAAATGCCAAAAGTTAGTTCAGCCATGATGAATGATATTGAAAAGGTAAGACACACCGTAGCGTTGGAAAAGTTTATTTCTTTGCAGAACTTACTTATGATGGATGTTCATATTTTTCTTTTAATGTTTTTTGCTTCGTTTTTTCATCTTCTTTTTTCCTGCAGACCAAAAACAATCTTCAAACACATGCCGATACCATAGAAATGTCATTAACAGAATTGAAATCGAATAAAAAACTGAATACAACCAATGGCAGTCGGGGTAAGTTTTGGAAGATATTTAAAATAAATTTTGGAATAAATTAAAACGGAATTCTTTGATGTATTTTTGGCCTTTTTTATAAAAATATTTTCCTTAATTTCAATTTATATACGTAAATGAATCATGGAAAATGGTAAATCTACTCTAAACATGCAAAAAGGGCAAGTGAAGACCTCTACATTTTATAGAATATAGAATATTTTATAAGTTCTGCTGTTGCATAGAAAACCTATACAAGGGCTGCTATACATAGAAGAATTTTGGAAGGTCATTTCTCCATTAAGACCTTTCAAAGGTTTCTCCTCCAAAAAAAAGACCCTTGATGGGTCCTGTGATCAAGGAAAGTTCTCTGAATCTTTTTAGACTATAGTACATCTTTAGGAAACTTGATGACCAGCATAGAGAACATTTTAAAGTTCTTAAGAGATTTCCATCCAAAGAGGATCTAAAATTTTGATCCTTTGGGGGGTGATATGGAAAGCAATGGGCCAATATCTCACACGTGCGCTGTCGATCTAAGTTGGATATAAATATTATAGGATATTCAATTCTCTTTATATGAAATATCTGAATGATTTCTCGAAAATTTGTTTAGGCCCTAGACCTCTTTAGACCAAATCCGTTGCAGGACATTTGGAGTCGATCTAACATTTGGAGTCGTGTCCGTTCGTCTGTCTGTCAGGCCTCTGAATCTTTTTAGTAAATCTTTAAGAAACTTGATAACAAGCAATAATGTATTCTTTCCATAGAGAACATTTTTAAGTTCTTAAGAGATTTTCATCCAAAGAGGATTTACAATTTTGATTCTTTGAAGGGAGGTATGGAAAACAATGTGCCAATTTCTTACATGTGCGCTGCCGATCTAAGTTTGATATAAATATTACCACGGACCAAGTTTGAAGTATATTGGGTATTCCATTCTCTTTATATGAAATATCGGAATGATTTTTGGAAAATTTTGATGCTTTGAGAGGGAAACACCAGATAGAGCGCATCGATATTTTAAATTTTCACACTTTCTCTAGAATATACAAAAATATAACTATGTGCCAAATATGAAGAAAATCGGACAATGATTTCCTACTTAAATATATCGGGTACTCTCTTTGATCAATATGAGATTTTTACACCCTCAGACATATAGCTAGAGAGGTTATACATCATTTGATACGGCCAGAGAGAGGGTATATATCATTTGATGACTCATCGAAATAACGATTTTAGACCCTAGGCTTTTTATACCAAATCCCTTTCAGGACATTTGGAGTCAATCTAGCGATGTCCGTCCGTCCTTCTGTCTGTCTGTATAGCTGGCTAGGGCGCACGATAACTATCGAAGGAAGTTTCCGTTTTGGTCCAAACTCGGTACATCGAAATATTATTATCAAACATAGATCGAGTTCGGAGATCGGCAATGTAAGGTACTTCCCCTATAAAAGGTCGAAATTTTCAAATGAATTATCTTGCTACTTAGAAAGAGAAAGCATAATCCGATGTTGCTTTAACTTTGCTAATCCCAATATTTTCATCAGTTTTAGGTCAGGTGCGAAATTGAACGATATCGTCCCACTCCATCACGTAATCCCTCCTCCACAAAGGATCCAAATTTTGAATACTTGTAACTCATACAAGATGTGAAAAGAGATTTGAATTGACTTCAAATTACATACAATTCAATATTTTTAACACCACAAAATCAGGTGTGAAATCTGGAACTATATCGGTCTACTCCTTGTGGTACCCCCTCCGCAAAGAGGGCTTTAAAATAATAACAAAACGCTCATAAAACGCGAAATAAGCACCCAATCTCTTTAAGTTTCACACATCCCAATATTTTTTGCAATACATGTTCTGGTGTGAAAACAATAGATATCGTCCTACTCCTTTTGGTGCCTCGCCACAAAAGGCGCAAAAGCTTTCGATCTTTTATAAAATTCACGCTTTTCAATATGTTTCCAACACAAAATCTGATGGGAAGGTGATAGATATCGGCCTACTTCTTCTTTTATCTATCTTAGCTTCTGAAAAAATTATTCGGAAATAAATGTATTAGATGAAGTAGATAACTTAGGTCAACTTTATTTGAAAACAATAGATATCGTCATACTCCTTTGGTTGCCTCGTCACATTTTGAAAATGCTCTTAAAATGCGAAAAAGCATTTGATATTCTGTAAAATTCACGCATTTTAATATTTCTTCCATTTCAATATTTCTTCTGGTGGGAAGGTGATAGATTTCGGCCTACTCCTTATTCGCATAAATTTGAAAAAAAAATGCATTAGATGAAGTATATTATGTCGGTCAACTATATGGGGTACCTCACGCACATTTCAAAATTTTCGAAGAATTATCAAATATCTCATATAAGTGAAAGAAGTGGTCGATATAGTCCAAATCTGAAACGTTTATATATTTATCATTTCCTATGAATGATCAACAATTTGAATAATCATAACGCCGAAATATATTTAAATAACCGAACATTGGCTGAGGATATGCAGCTGCCGGCAATACCGACTGATTTTATTCAACTTGTTATTATTGAAATATAAAACCCGTATTACCAATTTTATACCCCATATGATTTAAGAGTTTATATATATTTTTCTACGGCCAAAACGTGATCCATCAAAATAGCGGTTTTAGGCCCTAGGTCTCTTTGGGCCAAATCCGTTTTAGGACAATCTAGTGGTGTCCGTCCATCTGTCGGTCTGGCTGTATTATTTTAATAGAGAACATTTTTAAGTTGTTGAGGTATTTTTATCCATAGAAGACCTATAGACTGACGTGTGTCCAATGAACCCCCATAAAGCAAAACTTGAAAAGTTACAATACACCCTATGGTCTTCTGCCGAAAGATAACCTTCAAAAGGTCTAAGTTTTATAAAAGATTTTAAGAATATATATATTTTTTTAATTTCGGTCCAGAGGCGACATTTAAAAGGTCATTTAAACAAAGGACATATTTTAAATTTTTTTCTTTCAGCTGAACAAATCTAAAATGATTTCTTTCTATAGAAGCCCCTTTAGGGTTCTTTTGGCCATTGAAACTCCTCCCACTACTAAAAGTCCATTAAGAAAACTGAAATCACTCCATAAAATATTCACTGTTGCTGTAACCACATATTGTCGACAATGTTAATTTTGATCACTCACTTTGTATCGTCGACAGCACCTTGTCAATATTCATTTAAATGTCAACAAAATTGCACTTTCCCAAAAACTGAACTAATTTTAAATTTGAAAACTGTAATTTGCACAACAAATCTTTTACGGGCAGAATCGAAAATCATGTATATTAGGGTGAATATATTAGAAATATACATCAATCTTACAAAAAAAAAAAAAAATAAATAAATAAGTAAATAAATAAAAAAGAGTCGATTAAGAACTGATTTTTCAAACTATTTGCAAAACTATTCCATATCTTAATCTTAGACACCATAAGTTATCGCTATATAAAATTTTGTTTTCGTATTTGTTCATCTAATACCGAATTTTGTATTTTTTGTGTTATTTTTGGTATAAAAATACAGATACCATCAGTCATCTAAATATCAAATTTAGTACCATTTAGTACTTTTCGTACAAATATCGTACGCATTTTTGAACCATAGCCAAATCTCAAACACAGATGCCATCCGTAATATAAATATGTAATTTCAGAATTTTATCCCTATCCCTTCGACCAAAACCAAATTAAGTACCATTTAGCACAACTACATTACTCATTTCCAAATCCAGCTCCTTCTCTCAACTTCAGGCACCAACAGTGAGATCCATACCATATTTCAGGAATCCAACTCTATCCCTTCACCCAATACCAAATTTGGTACTGTTTAGTACTTTTCGTACAATTATCGTGCATATTTGCAAAACTACCTCCATATCTCTATCCTAGATACCGACAGTGACATCCGTATTAACTTTCAGGATTTCAGTTCTATATCTTCACCCAAATCTCCATATTCAGAATTTTATAACTAACGCTTTCCAAATATAGTACCAATACCAAATTTAGTACCATTTAGTACTTTTCGTAGAAATATAGTTCGCATTTATGAATCTTAGTCAAATTTCAAACATAAATACCGTTCCTAATCTAAATATGGAATTTCAGAATTTTATCCCCATTCCTTTGACCAAAACCAAATTTAGTACCACTTAGCACAATTACAGTACTTATTTCAAAAATCAGCACCTTTTCTCAACTACATGCACCAACAGGGATATCATATTTCAGAATTCCAGTTCCATCCCTTCACACAATGTCAAATGTTGTACTATTTAGTACTTTTCGTACAATTACAGTACATATTTGCAAAACTGCCTCAATATCTCAATCCCAGATACCGACAGTGATGTCCATATAAAATTTCAGGATTTCAGCTCTATCCCTTCCCCCAAATCTCAATTTTTAGAATTGTATCTCTATCCCTTTCCAAATATTGTACCAATATCAATTTAAGTACTGTTCGTACAAATATGGGACCTATTTCTCAGCCAAATCTCAAATTTCAGAACCCCCTTTTAAATAAAGTGAAAATACCAAATGTAGTACCACATTTTCGAAACAACCTCCATATGTCCAGGATACACATTAATAGCGTCCCTAATACCAAATTACAGATTTCATGCACTTTCTGTTCAAATTGTACCAAATGTAGTACAATTGGAGTACACATTTCTAAAACCATTTGTTTATCATAAACCTAACACTAACAGGGAGGGACCCCAATACAAAATTTTAAAATTCCAGCTTCATCTGTTTACCCTAAACCAAACTTTTCTAAATTTAGTACAGTTCGCCAACTTAGTACATATTTCCAAAACCACCTTTCATTACAGCCTTGCAGGGCTGTTATAGAAACCAATTTTGTCACTATTGGTTTTAAAAACGACAAGAAAAAATGATTTGGTGTCATGAAAATCAATGTTATCGGTTTTTTTCGAATTAGAATTTTATCGGTTTTGGTTGTCATAGAAGCCAATGTTATTG